AGAAAGAAAGAAAGAAAGAAAGAAAGAAAGAAAGAAAGAAAGAAAGAAAGAAAGAAAGAAAGAAGGAAGGGAGGAAACAGGAAGGAAGAGAGGGAGTGGAGGAGGGAGCGAGGGTAAAAGCTGTTTCTACATGCCTGGCTCCTTCCCGTAAGTTCCTCTGTTTGTCTCACCATAAGTGCTCACTTGACGGAGTTAATAAACCTGCTGCTCACTCTGGTTCACTGCAATCTGGCACAAGAACCATTCACACAGAGCAAAATTCTTTTCTCTTGGATGTATGTCAAGATACAAACTTTTGAGAAGTTGTCTGATATGATCTAAAATTCACCACGGAACCAGGCCACTGGCTTTGCAAGCTTTTTGTCTTGTGTTTGCAAAGAAGCCCCAATCGACCATGCTTTAACCAGGTCCCCAGGGAAAGCCCCACCAGCAAGTGTCTTTCTTACCTTGGTATATTGAATCTTCAAGTTGCCCAGCGGGGCAGGGATTTCAGGTTGTGCAGGGGAAGACATTGCTGGTTTGGCTCCTGGAACACAGGTGACAGGCTCAGCAATTTGATTCTGTTAGGGCACTTGCTCCTTTTTATCTGCATGCACTAAGGGTCATTTGCATATTAGGATATGATTGGATGGGCAGACTAGGAGCAGGGCAGAAAGGACTCTACTCTCTTGTAACAACTAAGGCTGGGAGGGAGCCTTTGCCTTTAAATGTGAATCCTTAAGGAACCTGCACCTTAGCCCTGAGGTTCCATCTGGAGACTATTCACTATTTACAGATGAATTAGTTTACAAAGCCAAACCTGTGCTGAGGGTGTGTGTTCAGCTGCTCCTGACGCTGGAAGTCAGTTATTATTTTTTTTCCTTGCCTGTTCATGCTTTGTTATGCTATTATGTAACTTTTTCTTCTCTAACATTCTGGATATCAAAGATTTTGAAATGAAGAAGATTCTAAAACAACATCTGTTCTCCCTAGGGTCCAGGAGACCATGAATCTGCAGGACATGGCTGCTAGCAAATCTGTTCTTGTCCCAGAAGGTCTGGGTGCTGTTAAAGAGAAACGCCACCTCTCTAGACTTAAAAAAAAAAAAAAAAAATCAGCAACCTCATCTCATATCAGAATCCTCAATTTGTCTATGTCTTTTCGGTGGGAACAGAACACTCCCACACTGTGAAGGACGTCTCAATCAGAGGTCACTGTCACAGAACCTCAAAGAGCGTTATGGCCAAGGCTTCTGTGAAAATTTGTTTAAAGTGAAAGTAGCATCTGATTTGGGAAATGGCTACGTTTGTAAGTCATTACTCTAAGCAGTGCAGCAGGAAAGAATGTAAATATCACTCCCAAAGAGTTTAAATTTGGAAGGGTTTGGGCCCAGAACTTTGTAAAGGACCATTTTGACCTCTAGTGTTTTCATTTTGAAGACAATGCTTCTCTGTGTAGACGCTCCAGCACAAGATATGGAAGGAACTAGATAACATTCTTTGGATGCTCTGGTTATTAAGAATTAGTGATAATCTCTTTGTAGTAAAGTTGCCATCTCCCCTGCATGGGGACTTAGCTAGGGGCAGGAACAGGGGCTTGGGAATCTGTTTCTCTTTTGACCCTGACTCGAGCTTCTCATTTGGTAATCAGAGAGTAATCATAGACCTCACAGTATAAGGTTGAAATCTCATTCCAGGCAAAGCATCCCGGTCTGTTATTCCTCCTTTCTATTTCTACCTTCATAACCATAAGATGATCCCCACATAGGCTGATGATCAGCTTAGTGTCTCTGAGTAGTTACATTCGCAGAAATTATGTTTAACCCTTTATTCATCCTGGCATTGGCAAACATTCCCTCATGGAACAGATAGGAAGGATTTTCATCTTTCCGGAACATACCAATTCTGTTTCAATATGTTCTATGCCAATTAAAATGAGCAACAGATGCCAAGAAAATAAATGCACATTTTTCAAAATGGAATTGCACATGTTAATAAGGAGGCATCCAGATCCATGACACCGACCACCTCCCCAGGTTCAGCAGTCCTTGAGTATTCTGTTCATCTTGCTTGAATCTGGATCAGAACTTCTGTGTTCTTTAAGTATTCTCGCTCTCTCTGTCGTCTCTCTCTCTCTCCTTATAGATTTTTTTTTGAAAAAATTGAACTGTTTTCTCTTGCACTAATGCTTTTTTGAGTTAAAGGTTCAATTGCTCAACAGCTATTACATAACACACAGAGTGGTGCTCAGGCCAAAGCCCAAACAGCTGTGTTTTGCCGAGTCACAGTTGTTTGTGGATTCAAAACTGGTTCATTTGGTGTCTAGAAAGGGAAAAACACAGACTGCACAACATACTTGACATGCCATCCCCCTTACTCTCTGAATGGGCAACATCATTCATTGTATTTTCTTGGATAATTATGTAATAATGTGCTCTTCAAATCAAGCATTATACGGGTAGCTAAAGGGCACTTTGGAAACAGCCAGCGTGCCTGCCCACTTAGTTTCCCAAGTATTTACTAAGCAGCGTATGTGCACCAGCCATTCTTAAGTTTTCACAACAGATCAACAGAGCTAACCTTTTTCCCCCCCGAAACCACAAGACTGATAGATGTATTTTGAAGGCTTGGTTTTTTAGAAATGCTCATTTCTCAGAATGGAATCACAAGTAAAAGATGATTCTTTCCCTCTTTCATTTATAAGGGAAAAACTAGCTTTGGTAAGACGATGGGCTCTAGGTAGGGCTACGTCTAGACTAGTGTCACAGTTGGATATTTTCAACATATTTCAGAGCTAATGATTTAATGTGGTTTCCTCAGCAGAGAATATTTCATCATTTCTTCCTCTGTGGCAAGTAAAATTGCTTTATCAAATATACCTACACATATACTGAGGGAGAATAAAAAGATAATAGTTACGTGATTGCCTCTAGCTCTTCACAAGGCTGTTTTATTTTAAATATTTGTTTTTTGCTTCTTTTGGTTTTATTTTTAAACAAAAAATATTACGTGAAAGTTTAGGAGGGAGGTTGTGTACATGAGTACAGTTATTGCAGTAGATCATAAAAGAGTGACAGATCCCTTGGTGCTGGAGTTCAATGAGCCATATCTTCAGTCTATAAGTCTGTTCTTAGCCCAAGAAATGTACCAACTACAACATCTGCCATCATTGAAACCAATTTCATTTGACTGCATATCTGTCCATGACTCCATTCAAGACGACTTCTAGATAAGATGAAAATCTCTTCCTGACAAGAGTAGCTAAACCTTTCCCTAATATGAATAATTCAAATAAAATTGAGATCAGGTAACAAAAATGAACTGCATGATGAGATGAAAGTTTCTTCAATTGACTGAAACTTGACTTGCTCTCAAAAGGAACATGCTGAAATCCTAGCCCACAGTGACAAGGTATGAAGGCTCCTTGCATACTCTTCATTGCTTTCCTGTTTGTTTCATGCAACTAAGGTATGACATGTAGCCCTGGCATTTGATGCAACCGGAGCACTTGCTGGATAGTAAGCTCTCTAAAATTAACTGTGGATTAAAGACTTTATAAGATAAGATCCTTGGCCCATAAGGTTTAGCTTGCCAACAAAGCACTTGGTGTTTTGTCTATACTTTCTGCTTTGTTTCCTGATAGTGGAGACTGAAAATAAAAACACTGGGCACACTCTGCTTAGAACTACTTTAAGATATTTGGCAACTGCCCTGCTTAATGCTTCCTACATTTATGTCATGCATAGATTGCCCTTCAACATGCTTATCATTTTACTACAAACAATTCTTCTTCTCCAGTTGACTCAAAACTTAAATCACATTTTTGCAGTCATTTGAGTGAAGTACTGAGTGCTTGTGGCATCAGGCTTGAGCCTAGGAAACAGTGTTGGGTCAGAAATGAGAATTTAAGACATGGTAGAAATAGTGGTCTTTTCCCATCCTTTATGATTTGTCAAACTCTTTAATATGTAAATGTGCCATTTATAGAATGTTTAAAAGCCCTGAGACTGCAGACCAGTAAGAAGCTATAAAATGAGAAAAGAAAATAACTACCACATGGACACAGAAGCCTGTCAGAGTTTCACAGTTTATTGTCCTCACGTGGGATTGTCAACCCTTTCCCATTCCTTCAAATTACCTCCACTCTAACCTCAAAGACATCCAATCATTTAATCTCTGATTATTTGACTTGTCATGAATAAAATATACATCTGAACATTTTCGCCAGGTGGTATGGGAAGTCCTTCAATCTATGTGTTGCTTTTATTGGTGAATATAAATCTGTTTCGGCCAGTGGCTTAACAGAATAGAGATAGGCAGGGAAAACTAAATTGAATGCTGAGACAAAGAAGGCAGAGTAAGAGAGAAGCCATGTAGGTGCCACCAGGGACAGATGGATTGGTACCTTGCTGGTAGGCCACAGTCACTTAGCAATACACAGATTAATAGAAATGGGTAAACCAAAGAGATAAGAGCTAGCTAGCAATATGCTTAGTGATTGTTCAAGCAGTGGTTTAAATAATATAGTTTCTGTGTGATTATTTTGTGGTCTGGGCAGCTAGGAACAAACAAGCCACTTCTGTCTACAACCAGGAAAGTGTGGGCTCCAGTTTAATATTCTTGTTTAGCTTTATCACAGAAAAGTCCTTTTCATGGAGAAGCCTATCCTCAAATTCACAGATGGATGATGAGTTACTCAGCAAAAAGCAGAATCATAGCTCACGCAGTTTGTGTTTATATCAAGTGATGTTTCCCAGCTCAAGTACAGAAAACTCACAAATTCAGAGCACTGATCTGTAGCATTTGCCAGAAAACATTATCACTGGAAAACTGAAAAAAAGGTCAGCAAACTCAAGTCATGGGTTCAGATACTAGAGATAACTAAAGAGATAACTAAAGAAGATGCTGTTCATAAAATGGCTGAATTAGTGCATCTGAGGTTAGAGCCTTCTGACATCAGGTGAGTCCTAAGAGTCAATACTTAGTCAGAAGCAGCCTTCAAATTCTGAAAAGTAAATTAGACAACAGTTACCATTAAACTCACACATCAGAAGAAACATCTACAACAAAATCAGTGGAAAATAATATACAACTCAAATGGTAGAATTGCATAGCCGAATTTTAAACTCAACCCAAAGTGAGTGTTTAAATCTATTAAACTTGGTGGTTTATTTATGTTTTTACCTCTCATTCCAACTGAAATTATACTTCACTGTCTCTTCTGACTTGAGTGTAAGCTGTCTTCCAAAAACACATGGGTTGAATACTTGTTCCCCAGGCGCTGTACTTGAAAACTTTAACAGTTGAAGTCTAACTGAAGGAAGAAGGCTGATCTTTGGCTAATAGTCCCTCCTCTCTCCATATGAAAAGATGAAGAACCGCCATTGCTACACGTCTTCTAGTATGTTAATCTCATTTCCCATGGACCAGAATAATTGGACAGCATCAATTATTGTCATCTGAAGTCCCAGCATCCATGAGCCAAAACAAATAATTTCTTTTGTCAGATACTTGGTTACAGTGATGAGAAAACAAACAATATAATAATAATTTTGGTATCTTGAAATTGTGCATAGTGGAATTTACTTTTGTTGTA